CTATGTTTGTGTGTTCATCCATCAGGACTGTGGGTGGCTCCCAAGTCGCCGGCCCCCTGTATTCGGGCGTCAACTACTTCCCCGATGCCCTCTTCGAGTGGCAGCTCGACTATCCAAATGACCCCGACCCCATGGAGTTCGCCATCCGCACCAACCCTGCATCCATCATCAACGTGAGTCACTTTTGCAGAGACACACAGCATTGAGATGTGTGCTGTGTGTCATGTGTCTCCAGAACGTGTGTGTCGACTTGTACCTCCGCAAGCTCCAGAACGAGTACCCGCAGTCGATCTCCGTACGTCTGTCTCACGCACGCACTCGTGGATGGATGGACGGCAAATTGGTGGGTCGGTCGGTTGGTTTGTATGTGTGTGTGTGTGTGTGTGTTGTCAGGATGAGGACGTCAGAGGCTGGCTGGCTGTCGGCCTGACCGCCAACTGGACCATCAGACCGCAAGAGCTCGGTCAGTCAGCGCACGAGACACATTCAACGAGTCTTTCTTCCTGGTCATGACCTGTGTGCACTGCAGACGCCTGATCACGTGTCCATCTCATCATCGTCGATCCATCGACGAGTGTGCATCGGACAAAGAGAGAGACACACAATCATGTCTGAGAGTCTGTGACTGACCGATTCAGCCGACCGACTGACTACATCCATCCACGCATGAAAGAGACACAATCGAAATGATCTATACACACAAAAACAGAGAGAGAGAGAGAGAACGAGATGCACTGAGTACAATACACGTGGACCAGCTGCTGTCTGTCCCGAATTACTTGTGAAGGCTTTCATCATGTCTCGCTTCATCTTGTCCGCTGCGTCATCGGCTTCGCCCATCGGACCAGCATTGGCAAAGCCAACAAAGAACAGCCGCGGCCTCATACGCATGACGTTTGTGAGCATGTGGTGGTTGCACCCTCTGGTGATGGGTTTTTCGTATAGATGAGTGTGTCATGAATGACTTGATCACTGAGGACAGACCGTCAGACGTCACAATCCACACAAAGACGTCCGTCCGCTCACATGAAGAAGAGATCGTCAAATATAAAATGAAGGCAGCGATAACCCGCCCCGCCACCACACACAGTCAGACTGCGAGACGAAAGAGAGGCACCCCTGCCTCCCCCCTCCGAACACACAGAGGACTGCCTGTTGCACCAATCAGGAGACACAAGGAGAGAGACAGCCACGCGGCACGACCAGATATGCAGCAACAGACATGCAGTGTGGGAAGGAACTGGTCCATCTCTGTCTGTCTGTCTGATGTGTGTAAGGCTGGCAGCCACAAACATCGTGTCGGTCAGCCAGGCTGACAGAGTGCGGACGACTGAATTCATTAGAGAGAGAGAGAGACAAAGTGCGAGCACAGCCACACCATCCTAATAAGCTTGCAGCCCGCCTAAGCATCCCATCTTCTATCTCATGTCTGAAACAACAGGCAGTAATACAGCCAGGGAGCCCGGCGGTTGGATGTATCGATCTCCCCTCTCGCCCATCCATCCACTAATCCACCCATTTTGCCAGCCAGCCAGCCAATCAGATCGCACCCCAACCTCACCTCTCTCTCTCCCTCTCTATCCATCCATCCACATACACACACACGACATCTGACGGTCGGTCCTCAGTGATCAAGTCATTCATGACACTCATCTATAGGAAAAACCCATCACCAGAGGGTGCAACCACCACATGCTCACAAACGTCATGCGTGTGAGGCCGCGGCTGTAGCTAGTCAGCAATAGAATAGAATAGGTGCTGCCACCCACACACATAACCCCAACGTGTGCTCCTGCAGCTGGCCGTCCGGAGCAAAAGAACAAAAGAGCCACACGTCAAGAGCTCGCACAGCAAGCCCACAATCCATCCGGCCAGCAATTGAAAGCAGAGTCTGTATGTCAAGCAAGTGCGGCAGAGGGAGACACAGAGAATAGAGGGGAGGGAGACATGGCAGACATACAAGAGATGCATTGCACAGAGAGACGAAAGAGAGGCAGACTGTCAAGTGAAAAAGGCCCCTCCCAACAGAGGCCTGCATACACAAGAAGAAGCGAAGCAAACTGTATAACGTAAGGTGACTGTAACTAAAGCTACTCACCCACCCACCCACCCACCTTTCCTGGCGATGCAGACGGTGCGCAGTGAATGTTGATGCTGTCTGACTCTGCTGTGTGGCAAACGGCTTCGATGAGGTGATCTTGATGTTTATCTCCATCTTGAAGATGGAAGGTAATCAAACATATTCATTGATCAGTCCATCCATCCATCCATTCGCGCGTTCGTGGGCGTGTGTGTGTGTGTGTGTGTCTTGCTCACGTCGTGGATGGCCAAGACAGTGAAAATGCCAGACAGCTGACGACAGCGGGCAATAGACGTTCTGCAGAGACAAAAGGACAGGCAGAGACACACTGGAGTGTGCGCACATACACACACAAAGATCACTGACTCACTTAGCCAATCGAGTCGGTCGACGCTCCTGCTGCCGTCGTGCCCGTGGCTTGGCTGTTGAGAAACTGTTTCCAGAGACGAATCGAAAGGTCCAGCTCCGCCTGAACGCATTAACGCACACACACAGGCAGAGTGAGAATGCGATAGACGCAATCATTCATGAATTTACACATCCGTACATGCCTTATGTGGTAGGTGTGTCTGAATCCTGCTTACCGCAGCGCAAGGCAGTCCAATTCCGCGGTGATAGACTCTGGCGTCGACGTTGTTGCCGATGCCAAAGTTTTTGGCTGCTGCTTCCACGGAGGAACGAAGGGCGATGGAGGGAGGGAGACCATCCAAACCCATCGACGCATTCGCTCGGTCTACAGACAGACAAAAATGCACACATCTTCAGGTGTCAATGCTGCATAGACGTACGTCTACGTCTAGCCCTTGATGATGTCAGAAGAGCTGCATGATTGCACTGCATCAATGCCTCAAGTCCGTCCAAGCATTCAGTGCTGCCTCCTGCGGTAGTCACCTTTCCTTGCTGCCGAAGCGGCACTTGCTCTTGACCAGCCACCTTGTTCCCCTCGAGACTCAAACGAATCTTCAGCTCGACGTGCAACAGACAAAGATGCACATATATCCCAGTATGCTGGTGAATCCTGACCGCGAGGAGGAGAAACCCCTCGCCGCACGCTTTTTGAACTGCGCAAACACGCATACACCCGCGCAAGAATCAACAGTGGAGGGGAGTTGCGTCTCGCTCCCTCGAGCTCCTCCGACCACTCCCCGTCCTCCCAGCCGCCAGCTTACCTTCTGAATCAAACCCTCAAGAATCAAACCTTCAAGAATGATCATCTGCTGAGGTCGGCGAGCCTCCGGCTCATGTATGGGCCGTGGTGGGCGGTGGGGCCTTGCCGAGACCAAGAAGAGAACCTGCAGAACAGAAGGAAGCTCTCAGCTCATGCTCAACCCAACCACTTTTCTTCGACCATCGCGCAGAGTCAGGACCAAGGTCAGGACGGTGTTCAAGAGACCCCATGATTTTTGCGTAAGAGTAGGCATTGATGAGCTGCGTGTGATGGATGGCTTCCTGACATTGACCCACTTGGCATTGCCCGTGAGGCGAAAAAAAAAAAGCGACGCCGTCTCCATCGTCGAGATTTTGAATTTACCGGCCTATGACGGCGAAATTGAGCCGCCTCACTACCCGAACATGCGCCATGCGCCACAGGCCTGTGCACGCGGAGGGAACTGACAGTAAGAATCAGGTCGATACTTGACTGTACTTGGTGATACCTGGACAGTGGCTGGACATATGGACTGCTATCCTGCGACCCTGACGTAATATCTATGGCTGACCGGCTGAGTGCGTGGCTGCAGCAGCCAGCGCGTACGTACACGACGGCTGATGTGTTCTGAGCGATGGTTGCTCAGCTCAGAGGAATGGATGTGTGTGTGGATGCTGACTGACACTCGTCGGTGCTCTGTGCGTGTGTGTGTGCGGCCGACTGACCACGACCATGAACCATTGATTGAACGTTCAACTGTCCGTGCGGTGGAGTGCACACACACGAGCACACCGATGCATTGGCCAGTCGGTCAGTGTGTGTGGGTCGTGCAGTCAGTTGGCTCTTCGCTTGGCCTGCCGCCCCTCGTGCTCTGCCTCTGACTTCTGCTGCTGTTTCTTGCGCTCCATGTCTTCGATCATGTGAGCCGCCAGATCGGCCACTGTGGCGAGCACCGACGCCTCCTGACAACGCCAACACAACAGACACCACGCAGGAGGGATGAACGGATGGACCGCTCTCTCTCTCTCTCTCTGTGTGTGTGTTTCTGTCGTACGGTTGCATCGCGCTTGGTGAGGAAAGGGTGTCGGAGCGCCTGCACTGCGCTGAGTCTGTCGCGAGGATCCCAACAAAGCAGACTGACACACACGAGACACACACACAATGATTGCATCGATTGCCCATGTTGTCTGTGTGTGTGGACGTACCTGTGGATGAGGTCGACGCCATCGTGATCAAAGCCTGCCAGCTCTCGAGTCAGCACAGACACGCCATCCTCAGCGACACCAGAGAACTTGGGGAAGGTCTCCTGACACAGACACATACACAGAGATGAGATGAGCTGTGATGTGATTCGTGTGTAGCTGGCTGTGTGGCTGACCTTGAAGTGGGGCAGCTCGCTGACGCCTGGATAGTCCACCTCGGTGGGAGTGCCTTGAGTCGTGGGACACACACACACAGTGAAGCGTCCATTCGTGCGTGTGTTGTCTCGTATACCGAGCTTGTGGAAGATCTTGACGAGTGTGCCGAACTCGCTGTCGCCTGGGAACAGCGGCTGGCCGGTCAACATCTCATACAAAATCGTGCCTGCATCAAACACACAGACAGACAGACAGACAGGCAGGTGGACGGATGTGTGTGTGTGTGTGTGTGTGTGGTGTCAGTCAGACCGACCCACACTCCACATATCGATGGACGTCGAGTAGCAGTCCTGTCCTGAACACACACACACACACACAGACATGCATCTATGCCTTCCTCTCTGTCGCTGTGTGTCTACCGAGTATGATCTCAGGCGCCCGGTACCACAGCGTCACCACCTCGTGCGTCAGCGGCTGAGTCACACGCACACACGCACACAGACACACACACAGACAGTCCTGCGTGGCGCCTCTGTCTGTCTGTCTGTCTGTCTGTGCGTGTCTGATGTGTGTGTAGTGACTGACCTGTGAGGGTATTTCGAACACTCGTGCGAGGCCGAAGTCGCCGACCTTGAGGTGGCCCTGGCGGTTGATCAGCAGGTTCTGCGGCTTCAAGTCACTGGAGAGAGAGATCGGACACGCAGAGACAGACATGCATGTGCCACGGACGCGCGTCACGTCATGTGCTCTTGTTTGTGTTGTGTCAGCCAGCGCTTCACATCACATCACACCGGTGTATGGTGCGGTTGGTGTGGCAGTGTTGGATGGCGGACAAGAGCTGCCGGGCGAAGTGGCGCACGATCGGCACACTCAGACAGGCACCGTAACCCAGTCTGTCATGCATCTTCATGAACCGCTGCACACACGACACACACACACACAGAGACAAGGAGGGGGTGTGGGTGTGTCGTGTGTGCTGTTTGTTGACTGGTCAGCTGACTTTGAGGTCGAAGTCCATCCATTCGAAGACGAGGTAGAGTGCGTTGGTGTGGTGGATGGGCCGCAGCAGAGACACGATGTTGGGGTGCTCCAACATCAGCAACAACGAGATCTCACGCAAGACCGTCCCTACACAGTTAAACACATACACACATAAGGCCAGCCATCCATCCACCTATGTGTGTCTCTGTCCGTCACCCCTCCACTCAGGCACTGACCTGGTACGCCCTCGTCGTGTTGGTCTGTCCTGATCTTCTTGAGTGCCACGGTCTTGTTGGTGCCCCGCTCCTGTGCCCGATACACCACACCGTACGTGCCCTCACCTGGTTGCAACAACACACACACAGACACGGACAGACACAGAGAGAGGGAGACATGTGGGGACAGTCAATTGTTTCCCCCTGGCTGTCTGTCTGTGTGCGTATGGTACCGACGACTTCTCTTCGGATGAATGTGTCTCTGTCGCTGTCATCGTCGTGTGTGGCAATGTGGTCGTGTGTGTTGTCAGTGTCTGTGTGTGTCTGTCTTTGCCGCTTCCTCTGCCCACCGCCGGCAGCAGCAGCAGCAGCAGCGGCCGGGTGTGGCGAGCGGGACGACCGTTGACGCATCATACTCACTCACTCACTCATCGATGGACGGCTGGATGGACAGTGAATCAGTCAGTGTGTGAGAGTCACAGCAGTGAAGATGAGTGAGACACAGTCAGTGAGCAAACAGACACACAGACACAGACATGGGCAGGCATGAGTCATATCCGTGTCATATGTATACGTATGTGAGTGTACGTGCATTGCGTCCTCCCGAATATGG